GTCAAGCAGATTGTTTCCTCTAGTCGGTTCTGTCACAACCTGTTCTAAAAAGCAATCCTGAACCGTATCAAGAAAGTCACTAGACTCAAGATTTCCTGTCATATTGTTCCAATCAATTTGTCTAAAGTTAAAGTGTTTCTTCTTTTTTGGGTAACCCTACCTTGGGGGACAATAAGAATGTTAAAAATAATTAGATAATAATAGTAATACAGAATAAATAATTAGTTTGCACTGAGTATTGGGTATTTTTTGGTTAAAAAGACGTACAGCAAAAAAAAAAATTTTTATTACAATGTTTCACCTACACAAGGCTCATTCAAGTACGTGAGACATGCATAAGAAAAAAAGGTCACCCTCCTTTTACTGTGTACGTCTTTTTAACCACTTGTTCATTACACCATTCCCTAGATAGTTTCTGCAAGTATAAACATGTGATAATGTCCATCCCCTGCTATTTTTCATACATACATAAATACACATTGCTACATATGTATACAGTGGACCCCCAGTATTCGATGGCATCGGTATTCGATAAATCCGGTATTCGATGCATTATATTGCAAAAATTTTGCCTCGGTATCCGATTGAAAACCCGGTATTCGATATGATTCGTACGAGACGTGTCCACGTGTGGCCTGAACTGCCCCGTGTGCGCGCCAGTGTTTACAAGCCAGCCAGTGTGCGCGCATCTAAGGATACATTCGGTACATTCCATATTATCCATAGTATCACTGTTTTTGGTGCAAAATAAGTCACCATGGGCCCCAAGAAAGCTTCTAGTGCCAACCCTTCGAGAAAAAAGGCGCTAATGACTATTGAAATGAAGAAAGAGCTAATTGCAAAGTACGAAAGTGGAGTGCGTGTGTCGGAGCTGGTCAGGTTGTATAATAAACCCCAATCAACCATCTCTACTATAGTGACCAGGAAAACGGCAATCAAGGAAGCTGTTCTTGCAAAAGGTGCAACTGTGATTACAAAACAGCGACCGCAAGTGTTAGAAAATGTTGAGAGACTGCTATTGGTGTGGATAAATGAAAAACAGATAGCAGGAGATAGCATCTCTCAAGCAATCATTTGTGAAAAGGCTAGGCAGTTGCATGACGATTTGGTAAAGAAATTGCCTGCAACTAGTGCTGATGTGAGTGAATTTAAGGCCAGCAAAGGTTGGTTTGAAAGATTTAAGAATCATAGTGGCATACACAGTGTGGTAAGGCATGGTGAGGCTGCCAGTTCAGACCAAAAAGCAGCTGAAAAATATGCGAAGGAATTCAAGGATTACACAGACAGTGAAGACTTGAAACCTGAACAAGTGTTTAATTGCAACGAAAAGGCCTGTTTTGGAAGAAATGCCAAGCAGGACTACATTACTCAGGGGGGAAAAGGCAACTCCCAGGACATAAGCCTATAAAAGGACGGGCTTACTCTGTTAATGTGTGCCAATGCTAGTTGGTGATTGCAAAGTGAACCCTTTATTAGTGTATCACTCTGAAACCCCCAGAGTGTTCAGGAAAAAACAATGTCCTCAAGGTAATTTGTGTGTGCTGTGGAGGGCAAACAGTAAGGCATGGGTCACTAGGGACTTTTTCTATGACTGGTTACACCAAGCATTTGCCCCCACTGTGAAAATTACTAACTGAAAAGAAATTAGACCTTAAGTTGCCTCCTGGTATTAGACAATGCCCCTGGTCATCCTGCAGACTTGGCAAAGCGACTTTCTGGAGACATGAGCTTCATTAAGGTCAAGTTTTTGCTCCTAATACCACTCCTCCCCTGCACCCCATGGACCAGCAGGTCTTTTCCCAACTTCAAGAAACTGTACACAAAAGCTATTTTTCAAAAGTGCTTTATAGTGACCACAAAAACTCAACTGACTCTAAAGATTTTTGGAAGGATCATTTTTAATATCCTCAATTGTATAAACCTTATAGGTAAGGCTTGGGAGTGACTAAGAGGACCTTGAACTCTCCCTTGGAAAAAACTGTGGCCAGAATGTGTAGACAAAAGGGATTTTGAAGGATTTGAGGCTAAACCCTGAGATCCTATCCCAGTTGAGGAATCCATTGTGGCATTGGGGAAGTCCTTGGGGTTGGAGGTTAGTGGGGAGGATGTGGAAGAGTTGGTGGGGGGGGAAATGAAGAACTAACCACTGATGAGTGATAGACCATCTTCACAGCAAGAGGCCACACTTGAGGAAACTGCTTCGGAGGAGGGGATGAGAAATTGGGAAAAAGTTGCCTACTTCCCAAAAATTAAGGAAATGTGTGAAAAGGGGGCTTAAAGTGCAAACCTTTTTTGATGACAATCACCCTAACACAGCTATTGCAAGCCCTGCTGGTGACTATTACAAATGACAATGTTGTGAAACACTTGAGGAATGTCATAAAGGAAAAAGGAGGTTACAGGCCACTATGGACAGATATGTTGTGCGACAGAAATCCAGTGACTCTCAAGCTGGTCCTAGTGGCATTAAAAGAAGAAGGGAAGTAACCCAGGAAAAGGACTTGCTACCTCAAGTCCTAATGGAAGGGGATTCCCCTTCTAAACACTAACACCTCTCCCCTCCTCCCATCCCATCAATCACCACCAGATCTTCATTAAAGGTAAGTGTCAATTATTTTATTGTTATTGTAATTATTCTATTGCATTAAACTTAATATTTCATGTAGTAAAAAGATTTTTTTTTCATACTTCTGGGTGTCTTGCACGGATTAATTTGATTTCCATTATTTCTTATTCGATGAGCTCTCGGTATTCGATGAGCTCTCAGGAACGGATTAATATCGAATACCGGGGGTCCACTGTATTCATACAGACATATATATGAGGCACTGTGCAGCAGAAAAGGAGTGCCACCACAGCCAATATCCAGGTTTGTAAGAAAGTGTAAGTATATACTGTCTTCTGCATCTGTAAGTTAGGTTCAGAGCCCCATTTAGTATAGTGGCTTGAACTTCATAGCTCTAATCTCCCCCACACCTGCATTTTTCTTCATTTTTGACTTTAGCATTTTTCTGCCACAAAACACCTTGTACACTAACATATGAACTGCACCAATATACATCCATATACATGTTTTATGTGACATTTCATTATCTTGGGCAACCTATTGTTTGGTTCCTACCTGTTCTACTTTAAACTTGTTTGTTAGTTCTTTTCTAACAATTTTTAAAATCTGCTTGAGAAACCAAAATTATATTCAAAAGCTTAATATAATTTTTATTATTACTAACTTAAGAAATATACCGACTTTATCACGCTCCCAAAGGTCTACATGAAGGAATTCACAGGTTTAATTTTATTCTTTATCAAAATTTTGTGCAAATTTGTCTGGCCTCATACAAAAGCATGTTAAACTCTGAACTTAGGCTATTTCAGCAAGTAATGAGAATAAGCAGTCAAAGACAAACTTAGTTTCATATATGCATGCTTTGTTATGGCTGTTCTACATGACAAATTACATTTGTATAGAGTAATGGCACATATGGCATAACACTTATACAAGTTTTGGCTTTATAACTGAAGGCAAATGAAGGATAAAGACACATTTGCCTGCCACTACAGCCCTTATCACATGACTGCAGAGGCACCATACCCTCTGTCTCCCCTTATTGTTTGTATTAGCTTTATAAAGCTTCTGTACACCAGAATGTAACTAACATCTCATTAATTGCTCATTTCATTTTACTTAATGCCAGTAAACTAACTTTTTGGGACAATCCTTGTAACTTACCAATTACACATACAAGACTATTATAACTACCCAAAGATGTGTAATTTTACCTGAATAAGACTAATCACTACATTCAAATGTTCTCCAAGGACAGGAAATTCGTTTGTTTATTTACACAAGGAAAGTAAGACCTAAAATTCATATAATCAAAACTGAGAGGGTCATACAGCACTTCCTAAGTCATAACATCTTGGTTGGGTAGATACTTATTTACACTGCACAAGATTTACATGTAATTTTTAATTGAACATGGTAGCTTCCTTTATTTTTCCCCCTTTTTTTGGACAGCAAGAACAATAAAATACTCTCATGTTATCTCTAAACAAATACCCTAAATGCCTCATGTTTTTAAGAGTATATAAGAGTATATATCCTAGGTTTACACATATGGTGCTATATATGATAATCTATGTAACTGTATTATGTATACCTGAATAAACTTACTTACTTTTAAAGCAAACTCAAAAGCAAACACCATTCTAGCATCAAACTGAAACTTGACTTTCTTAATAAAAAGAACTTGCCTATGCAAAGGCTGCAAAACATTTGCCAAGGTGTTTAAATATACCCACGTACGCACAGTCATGTGACAAGGTAAAAAAAAAAAATTCATAACAACATGTGCAAAATGTCATGCAATACCGAGTTTTGTGAAGCACTGGTAGTTTGCATTTCCAGAAGCCAAACGACACAAAACAGGCTGAGGTGTTTCATCTGGCAAGATGTTACAATAGTGAGGTAGTGAGAGGGTTATTACGGTAAATATAAGTGATGGTAGAGGTGTAGTAGAGGTGAGTGTTGGTGGAGTCACTGTAGAAGCCTCAAGTCTTGCCAGTCACCTCAGACTAGTTATCAACAAATGACTTCCGTAAACCGTGTTAGGAGAGATGGTTATAAACTTGCTACACGAGGCCTCCTACACACGTTAGGTGCATCATGTAGAGTGGGTGGTAGGTGGTGGTGGTAATGGAGAGATATAGAAGGTAATGAAGTGTGTGTGTACATGCAGGTCCTTGATGGTAGTGCCTCGCCTCGCTGCCTCAACTCTCACCCAGATCTTAACTCCCTCACACCCACTCCCTCTTTCCCCGTCACTCCCTCATCTTCACCCACACTGCTGCTACCACACTGCAGATTCCATAGTGCCCGCTACCTGCCACTGAGATACGCATTAACGCCACTTCTTCCAGATTTTCTCCCGGGTGGACTGACTAGTCGACTATCCATACCAGTCACCGCCTACAAAAACAATGTCGGAATATTAACATACCTTGTCACCCTCCAGCTTGATTTCCGCCGAAGTGGCACTTAAAGCTAAAGCTCCCCCTTGAGGACAACTGGCTGGCTGTTTCGATGATTGAGAGTTGGAAGTAGAGCCAGGCTTGTCGGGATTACTTAAGTCTCCGTCTTGCGGGAGACATGCAGCCATCTTGACTGTAGGCGATGTTGCCGTCATCACGCAAATTTTATCAGTTCTCTTCTTACTTTCCTCAAAAAATTCTCTTCTGGTCATAAAACTACATCTTACCTACGATCACAACGTCAACTACATAATTGGGATGTAAAACAGAAAACTAAAACACATTACTACTTGGAAAATTTTAATCAGAGTAAGATAAAATGAAAAGAAATGCAATTATACATACGTCACAGAGAACGAAAACTAAAGAAACAGGCTAAGGTTTATGAATTTAAAAAATCGAGTAGGTGCATGACACAAGTGTGGAGAAGACCTGTGATTGGTTGAGGGAGGTCACGTGACCCCTCACCTGTGCGCGCGCCTCCACCCTACAATTTAACACAAACAACAATGTCAACACTAACATTCTACAATTTAACACAAACAACAATGTCAACACTAACATTCTACAATTTAACACAAACAACAATGTCAACACTAACATTCTACAATTTAACACAAACAACAATGTCAACACTAACATTCTACAATTTAACACAAACAGCAATGTCAATACTAACATTCTACAATTTAACACAAACAACAATGTCAACACTAACATTCTACAATTTAACACAAACAACAATGTCAACACTAACATTCTACAATTTAACACAAACAACAATGTCAACACTAACATTCTACAATTTAACACAACAATGTCAGCACTAACATTCTACAATTTAATGCAATGTCATCACTAACATTCTACAATTTAACACAAACAACAGTGTCAACACTAACATTCTACAATTTAACACAAACAACATTGTCAACACTAACATTCTACAATTTAATACAACAATATCAACACTAACATTGTACAATTTAACACAAACAACAATGTTAATACTAACATCCTACAGTTTAACACATACAATATCAACATTAACATTCTACAATTTAACACAAACAACAATGTCAACACTAGCATTCTACAATGTAACACAAACAACAATGTCAACATTAACATTCTACAATTTAACACAAACAACAATGTCAACACTAACATTCTACAATTCAACACAAACAATGTCATCACTAACATTCTACTATTTAACACAAACAACATTGTCAACACTAACACTCTACAATTTAATACAACAATGTCATCACTAACATTGTATAATTTAACACAAACAACAATATCAACACTAACATTGTACAATTTAACACAACAATGTTAATACTAACATTCTACAGTTTAACACAAACAACATTGTCAACACTAACATTACAATTTAACACAACAATGTCATCAGTAACATTCTACAATTTAACACAAACAACAATGTCAACACTAACACTCTACAATTTAACACAAACAATAATGTCGACACTAACATTCTACAATTTAACACAAACAACAATGTCAACACTAACATTCTACAATTTAACACAAACAACAATGTCAACACTAACATTACAATTTAACACAACAATGTCATCACTAACATTCTACAATTTAACACAGACAACAATGTCAACACTAACATTACAATTTAACACAACACTGTCATCACTAACATTCTACAATTTAACACAGATAACAATGTCAACACTAACATTACAATTTAACACAACAATGTCATCACTAACATTCTACAATTTAACACAAACAACAATGTCAACACTAACATTCTACAATTTAACACAAACAACAATGCCAACACTAACATTCTACAATTTAACACAAACAACAATGTCAACACTAACATTACAATTTAACACAACAATGTCATCACTAACATTCTACAATTTAACAAGACACCATTGTCAACACTAACATTACAATTTAACACAACAATGTCATCACTAACATTCTACAATTTAACAAGACAACATTGTCAACACTAACATTACAATTTAACACAACAATGTCATCACTAACATTCTACAATTTAACACAAACAACAATGTCAACACTAACATTCTACAATTTAACACAGACATCAATGTCAACACTAACATTACAATTTAACACAATGTCATCACTAACATTCTACAATTTAACACAAACAACAATGTCAACACTAACATTACAATTTAACACAACAATGTCAACACTAACATTCTACAATTTAACACAAATAACAATGTCAACACTAACACTACAATTTAACACAACAATGTCAACACTAACATTCTACAATTTAACACAAACAACATTGTCAACACTAACATTACAATTTAACACAACAATGTCATCACTAACATTCTACAATTTAACACAACAATGTCAACACTAACATTCTACAATTTAACACAAACAACAATGTCAACACTAACATTCTACAATTTAACACAAACAACAATGTCAACACTAACATTCTACAGTTTAACACAAACAATGTCAACACTAACATTTTACAATTTAACACAAACAGCATTGTCGACACTAACATTCTACAATGTAACACAACAATGTCATCACTAACATTCTACAATTTAACACAAACAACAATGTCATCATTAACATTCTACAATTTAACAAACAACAATGTCATCACTAACATTCTACAGTTTAACACAAACAACAATGTCAACACTAACATTCTACAATTTAACACAAACAATGTCAACACTAACATTTTACAATTTAACACAAACAGCATTGTCAACACTAACATTCTACAATGTAACACAACAATGTCATCACTAACATTCTACAATTGAACACAAACAACAATGTCATCACTAACATTCTGCAATTTAACAAACAACAATGTCATCACTAACATTCTACAATTTAACACAAACAACAATGTCAACACTAACATTCTACAATTTAACACACCAATGTCAACACTAACATTCTACAATTTAACACAAATAACAATGTCAACACTAATATTATACAGTTTAACACAAACAACAATGCCAACACTAACATTCTACAATTTAAAAGAACAATGTCAACACTAATATTCTACAATTTAGCACAAACAACAATGCCAACACTAACATTCTACGTAGAATTTAACACAATATGAACGCTAACATTCTACGTAGATGAGTAAATTATTCATATCAACTTCGTTAATAATTTAATAATTCCAAGATTTTTACTAGATACTTAAAATAATTTTGGTATACTAATCTATGAGGTTCCTGACGATTTTCCAAAATAATTTTTGTGTGGGGCAACATTTTTTTAGAACATTGGAAAGTTGTGTTGCAGCTTTGCATGTGTATTCACCTACGTGTGGTTGCAGGGGTCGATTCACAGCTCCTGGCCCCGTCTCTTCACTGTATGTGATGGTGCGGATGTTTGTAAGTCGAGTTGTAGAATGTTAGTACTAACATTGTTGTTTGTGTTCAATTTTAGAATATATTGACATTATTGTTACTATGTATGATAATTACACTTATGTAGACCTGTGCCTATTAGAGTGCATCGATGACAATTTTATTTTTAAATTGGTTTACTTTTTTTTACTGAATGACTTGAAATTCTGATGTATCTTACAGATAGGATGGTACCCTTCAAACTTAGGCAGAATAGATGTAGACCTGTACATTTACTAACCTGGAGTTTACCTGGAGAGAGTTCCGGGGGTCAACGCCCCCGCGGCCCGGTCTGTGACCAGGCCTCCTGGTGGATCAGAGCCTGATCAACCAGGCTGTTGCTGCTGGCTGCACGCAAACCAACGTACGAGCCACAGCCCGGCTGATCAGGAACTGACTTTAGGTGCTTGTCCAGTGCCAGCTTGAAGACTGCCAGGGGTCTGTTGGTAATCCCCCTTATGTGTGCTGGGAGGCAGTTGAACAGTCTCGGGCCCCTGACACTTATTGTATGGTCTCATAATGTGCTAGTGACACCCCTGCTTTTCATTGGGGGGATGGTGCATCGTCTGCCAAGTCTTTTGCTTTCGTAGTGAGTGATTTTCGTGTGCAAGTTCGGTACTAGTCCCTCTAGGATTTTCCAGGTGTATATAATCATGTATCTCTTCCTCCTGCATTCCAGGGAATACAGGTTTAGGAACCTCAAGCGCTCCCAGTAATTGAGGTGTTTTATCTCCGTTATGCGCGCCGTGAAAGTTCTCTGTACATTTTCTAGGTCGGCAATTTCACCTGCCTTGAAAGGTGCTGTTAGTGTGCAGCAATATTCCAGCCTAGATAGAACAAGTGACCTGAAGAGTGTCATCATGGGCTTGGCCTCCCTAGTTTTGAAGGTTCTCATTATCCATCCTGTCATTTTTCTAGCAGATGCGATTGATACAATGTAATGGTCCTTGAAGGTGAGATCCTCCGACATAATCACTCCCAGGTCTTTGACGTTGGTGTTTCGCTCTATTTTGTGGCCAGAATTTGTTTTGTACTCTGATGAAGATTTAATTTCCTCATGTTTACCATATCTGAGTAATTGAAATTTCTCATCGTTGAACTTCATATTGTTTTCCGCAGCCCACTGAAAGATTTGGTTGATGTCCGCCTGGAGCCTTGCAGTGTCTGCAATGGAAGACACTCATGCAGATTCGGGTGTCATCTGCAAAGGAAGACACGGTGCTGTGGCTAACATCCTTGTCTATGTCGGATATGAGGATGAGGAACAAGATGGGAGCGAGTACTGTGCCTTGTGGAACAGAGCTTTTCACCGTAGCTGCCTTGGACTTTACTCTGTTGACGACTACTCTCTGTGTTCTGTTAGTGAGGAAATTATAGATCCATCGACCGACTTTTCCTGTTATTCCTTTAGCACGCATTTTGTGCGCTATTACGCCATGGTCACACTTGTCGAAGGCTTTTGCAAAGTCTGTATATATTACATCTGCATTCTTTTTGTCTTCTAGTGCATTTAGGACCTTGTCGTAGTGATCCAATAGTTGAGACAGACAGGAGCGACCTGTTCTAAACCCATGTTGCCCTGGGTTGTGTAACTGATGGGTTTCTAGATGGATGGTGATCTTGCTTCTTAGGACCCTTTCAAAGATTTTTATGATATGGGATGTTAGTGCTATTGGTCTGTAGTTCTTTGCTGTTGCTTTACTGCCCCCTTTGTGGAGTGGGGCTATGTCTGTTGTTTTTAGTAACTGTGGGACGACCCCCGTGTCCATGCTCCCTCTCCATAGGATGGAAAAGGCTCGTGATAGGGGCTTCTTGCAGTTCTTGATGAACACAGATTTTCCATGAGTCTGGGCCTGGGGCCAGAGTGCATGGGCTTGTATTTATCGCCTGTTTCGAAGTCATTTGGCGTCAGGATAACATCGGATAGGCTTGTGTTAATCAAATTTGTGGCTCTCTCTAAAAATTAATTTTGATCTTCGACTCTCAGTCTGGTTAGCGGCTTTGCTAAAAATGAGTCATATTGGGACTTGAGTAGCTCACTCATTTCCTTGCTGTCATCTGTGTGGGGACCCATCTTGTTTAAGTAGGGGCCCAATACTGGGACGTTTTTCTCGATTTTGTTTTGGGCATAGGAGAAGAAATACTTTGGGTTTCTTTCGATTTCATTTATGGCTTTTAGTTCTTCCCGCGATTCCTGACTCCTAAAGGATTCTTTTAGCTTAAGTTCGATGCTTGCTATTCTCTGACCAGTGTCTCCCTACGCATTTCAGATATATTGACCTCTTTTAGCCGCTCTGTTATTCTTTTCCGTCCCCTGAAAAGGGGAAGCGCCTGTCTCTTTCTATTTTACATCTACTCCTCCTTTTCTTAGAGGAAATAGCCTTGTGCATACATCGAGTGCCACGGGGTTAATCTGTTCTAGGCATAAGTTGGGGTCTGTGTTGCTTAGTATATCTTCCCAGCTTATATCGGTTAGGATTTGGGTTTTACTTGGTCCCCTTTATGTTTTTGTTATTAAAGGGTTGGGAATTTGGTGAATGCCCCCTCGTGACTAGTCTCATTATGTCGGTCTGGGGCTCCACGCTACATGTCTGAACCTCAATTATGTTGTGATCTGAGGTATATTGTTTTTGATTGGTGACATTTCTTATCAGACCATCATTGTTAGTGAAGATGAGGTCTAGTGTATTCTCCGTCTAGTAGGCTCTTTTTAAATTTGCTGGTTTTAAATTGAATTTTGTGCAGAGATTTAAAAGCTCGTGTGAGTGTGAGTTTTCATCAGAGCTGCCTCCTGGTGTTATTACTGCAACAATATTATTTGCTATATTCCTCCATTTTAGGTGCCTTAAGTTGAAATCCCCCAGGAGCAAGATGTTGGGTGCAGGAGCTGGAAGATTTTCCAGACAGTGGTCAATTTTTAACAGCTGTTCCTGGAATTGCTGGGATGTTGCACCCGGAGGCTGGTAGACTACCACAATGACTAGGTTTTGGTTCTCGACCTTACTGCTAAAACTTCCACTACATCATTTGAGGCATTAAGCAGTTTCTGTGCAAAAAAAGTGACTCTGCAATGTACAGGCCAACCCCCCCCCCTTTTGCCTGTTCACTCTGTCACATCTGTATAGGTTGAAACCTGGGATCCATATTTTCGTTGTCCAAGTGATCCTTTATGTGGGTCTCAGTGAAAGCCACGAACATTGCCTTTGCCTCTGCAAGCAGTCCACGGATGAAAGGTATTTTGTTGTTTGTTGCTGGCTTTAGACCCTGTATATTTGCAAAGAAGAATGTTATCGGACTGGTGGTATTGTTGGTACTGGGGGGGGGATTTTTTTTCCGGCATTAGTATCTGTATCTGTTGGTTTGGAGTGGAGGCCATCGACTGTGGTTCCACTCCAGGAATGACTGGATTTGGTGTACGATTTCTGCCATTTCCTGCCAAGGTAATCCTGAAATTAAATTGTGACCAGTAACTGGAGAATACCTATTTTGATCAATTTCAGATGTTTAGCGATGGTGGGTTCTGATGAAGAATTAGACACGTGCAACATCTGGGTATCTATTTGTAGAGGCTGTGTAGCCCTTGTGGTTTAGCGCTTCTTATTGATTATAATAATAATTTATTTGTAGACGTTTCGCCACCCAGTGGCTTTATCAATACAATATAAGGGCATAATGTGAAAAAAATAGAACTATTTACAAATGATGAGGTAATCCATCCCTCAGTCTTTGGAGTTGGTGAAGAGCACGTTGTCTTGAAGACTACGGTGGGGACTGACCACCTCAGTTTTTGTACGTAGTTCTACTTTCCTCACATTATGCCCTTGTATTGTACTGATATTATATACCATTCATGTACAATATGGTGGGTTTTGCTCATAGGCTAGCATTGATTTTGGGTTGCAGGGATCAGAGTCTCTCCTGGTTCCTCTTCTCCACTATCTTCTTGCCAGATTCACTCCTCCCTAGTCGTCTGGGCCCTATCGTATCTGCTCTTAAAACTATGTATGAAGCCTGCTTCCACCACTTCATTCAGATCATTCCACTTCCCAACCACTGTTGAGACTAGAAATACTTCCTGACATCATTGTGGCTCATCTGTTATTTACAAAATACCCGTTTCTCACCTCAAACAGCCTGTCCCTGTCATCCCTATCATTCCTGACCCCTCAAGGAAGGTTCCTTGATGCTGGTGAGAGGCTCTTGATCTGGGGAATTCGATATGTGCTCCAGTTCCCTGAATTAAACCTGAATTACCTTCCACATCCCCCCACAGGTGCTGTATAATCCTACGGGTTTAGTGCTTCCCCCTTGATTGTAATAATAGCAATCCTGATTACAGTGCAACCTCGGTACTCGAACAGCTCCCTTCTCGAGCAATTTGGTATTCTCGACCAAACAAACACGACCTGCCAGAAATTTGCTGTAAACTATTTCACGTTTCTTCGCATTTTTTGGTGTTTTTTTTATATTAATTGTATAAATAAGCCATCATGGGGCCTAAGAAGATTAGTGATAACAACCAACAAAAAGAAAATGAGTTGGGAAAAATTCGTTCAGTACTCAAACAGCCTTCTGGAAAAAATTAAGTTCGAGTACTTAGGTTCCGCTCTATTTTGTATACTATTATCATATCTCTGCCTGGTTCATCTGACCTCTGAAGCCACTATTAGAATTGGGTAAATTGAAATATTGGTTCTCTTGATAATCTGTAAATACCTCATTCAATCAGCTTCAAACCTTCAGTGCTGACATATCTTAGAGTTAGCTTTGGATTGTTATTGGACTGTGTAGGTGCCAATTTACAAAATTTTACTTAAACCCTTCAGTTATCCTTGTGCTTACAAATATATAGTTGCTGGGGTGAAGTCTCAGATCCTGGCCCTCTCATAGGAGGTATGCAAATTACAGTTTCTTAAAATCTCACAGAACTGCACAGAATATACCTGAGAAAAGGAAACTCAGAAATATTGAAAACTGGTATTTTTTAAGCTTCACAAGGTCAGTAAGCTCTTTAAACAATAGCTACATAACCCAGAGTGGAATGCTTGACAATACATGTATTATAATTGCATACTGAAGTCTTCCAGCTAAGGTTGCCTTTTTTCATTATTATAGGTATGCCTCATTCACATACACCTCTGGCAAAGATCATCCTGCATTATGAAGTATGACAGAAAAACCATCCTATGTGATGGTGAATGACATGAAACCTGCTCTGCATGATGGTATACGAAATGAATCCTACATGGAGTATGGCAGGGATAACTATCTTGCAGGTAAGGTTTGGAAAAAAAATCTAGCATGATGGAGTATGACAGGAAATTATTATAATCAGGGGAAGTGCTAAACCCATAGGGGTCATACAGCACATGGGGAATGGAAGATAACCAGGGAAGGGGAGGATAGATCTGTTTCCTTGAATAAAGAACTCCTTACTGTCAAGGCACCTTCTTTGATGGGTATGACAGGAAAATAATTGTGTAAGGGATGGCATACAACAGGAAAAAACTGTGGTCAAGTATGACAGGAAAGCTCCTCAGGAAGGTTCCTTGATGCTGATGAGGGGCCCTTGATCTAGGGAATTGGATCTGTGCTCCAGTTCCCTGAATTGAGTCTGAATGCTTTCCATGCCCTCCCCCCACCCCACAGGTGCTGTATAATCCCTATGGGTTAGCACTCCCCTTGATTATAATAATAATGACAGGAAAGCCATCGTGTGTGAGAGCATATTAAAATCATCTTGCATGATGGAGTAAGACTGGGGAACCATCCCATGTGATGGTTGAGTTGTGTGGCAGTTGACCCTATGGCAGGCCATGGCAACAGTGTTCACTGGCTTACTATTACTATATTATAATATTAATGACAGTTGTTAAACCAGTAAAGGTTATTCAACACACCATTGTATCATTATGCTGGGCCTTTGCAGCAGAGACCTCTGGCTTACAGGAAACTTGGGCTATTAGAGAAATAATAACTTGATCAGGAATCCCAGCAACCATAAAACATCTAATTATCATTACTTGTGAACAGTGCAAAACCGGGAAGCATAAAAACATAAGATTATAATATTTATGGTATGTGGGTATAAACCAGAAATGTGTATTATGCAAATCTGTAACTTCGATGTTCCAGCCAGTAACATATTATAGTAGTAAAAAATTGTATGCATCTTCAAGCATTATCTTTCAAGATACTGTATTAACCTTATGATTAATACAATCTTACAACAAAGCTGAAATATGAAATTAAAATTTAATACCCAACAACTGAACCCAAGATAAATGGATGTGCAAATTATTCATGTAAGAGCAGTGGTCAGTGTGTTAACCCACAACTGAAAGGTCCCAGATTGATTGTCAGGCAGGCAAAGGAATACTTATGGAAATCTCTACACCTGTTCAGTTGGCAGCAAACTGGGGTCCCTGGGTATTAGGTGACAGTTGAGTCATAACTTGGGGGAAAAAAAAGTTCGTTTGCATATAAATATAGATGGGATGTAAAAACATGGCTCTGCTCCTGCAACTACAAATTGGAAATAACACACATGCCTGAAAGAAAGAACACTAAGTTATCTCAACTTGGAAAAGTATTACAGTAAAAACAACAGCTATCATTCACTTAAAGCTTTATTTATAAAGGCTATACATATATATATATTGTAAAGTAAGAAAGTAATACTGCATGACAATACTGAAGGACTAAATTATACAAACCATAATAGAGAAACATTTTATTATTAATATATATACTATATAAGAATATCAAAATTTAGGCAATTCTTCAGAAGATTCATCCATTTTGACAGGTTCCTCTTTTTGTTCTTCAGTAGCTTCACCTATTTTGACAGGCTTATCTTTTTCTTGTTCTTCAGTAGGTTCACTCATTTTGACAGACTCCTCTTTTTCTTTGGTTTTTGTTTGCATGGCTTCATAGAAGGAACCAAGTTTATTGTCTATTGATGCTATGGCCTCCCTGTTCACAATTTTCAGCTGTGGAGCACAAAGGAAAATATTAGTGAGTACAATAATCACAGTTCAGAGAACTTTCAATTACCTTGTTGAAAAAGGTATACTGTAGTATCTCATGTGGTGCAATAAAATATAATGATTTTTTCTTTACTGCAAACAAATCAAAATGTCAACAAAGAAACTACACTACTGACACACAAAATTGTAATAACACAATTACAGACAAATCACAGATCATGTAGGGCTTGAACCCACGACAAGTGAGTCCTCGAACTTACAGGCCAGTGCGTTAACCACTGGGCCAGCTGGCTCTAATAAGGTTCATCTAACTAGGGTATTTCTATACATCACAGGGAGGTTAAAATGGGCCATCACTGTGGCTACAAATACAGGTACATATTTACAGATGAATCCCACACAAGTGTGGCTTTGAAGGAACTTAAGCTAGAGTATGCCACAGTCATGCTGGTATGGGATTTGTCTGAAAAATCTGCATTTGTGGTCACAGCAGGGCCCATGCTAACCTCTTTATGGTGTATAGAAACATACCTAGTTGGATGAATCTTATTAGAGCCAGTTGGCTGAATGTTTATTGTGCTGGCCTGTGAGTTTTAGGATTCACTTGCCATGGGTTTAAATCCCACCTGTTCTGTGATTTAAGGAACCTACACTATATAACAAGTAAAAAAAAGTGCACGATACTGTACATGTTGACTTTAAATATGCTCAAAACAAGAAAATTTAGGTTACAAAATTATGCTGAAAGATTTTTTAACACAGTAACCATCTCCCACCAAGGTAGGATGACCCCAAAAAAAGAAATGCTCAGAATCTCTTTCAAATATAATAATAAGTGTTTTTCAAATAGAGGAATAAGACACTCAAAAAACACAAAAGTATGACTGCAAAGAAAAAGTGTGAATTTAAGAAGGGAGAGTGATGTGTGCATTAAGTGTTTGCAATAAAGCATGTAAGAGAACATTACTTAGATAAGGTTAAGACACTATTGGATGCATTTATGGATTTGAAAATGGCATGATAGGGAAGCAGTATAGTATTTACCAATAAGAACATAAGAAAGGAAGAACACTGCAGCAGGCCTGTTGGTTCATACTAGGCAGGTCCTTAACAATCCATCCCACTAACAAAATATTTGCCCAACTCAATTTTCAATGCTACCCAAGAAATAAGCTTTGGTAATTCTATTTACCCATGTGCAAGTCCCACTCAAATCCAACCCCTCTCACTCATGTATTTATCCCACCTAAATCTGAAACTACCCAAGGTTTTAGCCTCGATAACCCTACTGGGCAAACTGTTCCACTCATCAACTACCCTATTTCCAAACCAATACTTTCCTGTATCCTTTCTAAATCTAAACTTATGTAATTGGAATCCATTACTGTGAGTTCTCTCTTGGAGAGATATCCTCAAAACCTTATTTATATCCCCTTTATTGATACCCATCTTCCACTTATACACTTCAATCATGTCTCCCCTCATTCTTCGTCTAACAAGTGAATGTAATTTAAGGGTCTTTGAATACTACCTGTATACAGAGTGTCCACTCAGTCATGCATCATATGAAAAACTTATTTGTAAGGATGGTTACATCATATGTTCCGAATGCATAGTCATTTGTTCCCTCTAATTCCAAAACATGTTTGTAAACAGAATAGCAGGTTTCTTGGAATGTTCCTTAACACATCTGGGCTGATGGAGTTGACTTCATATTGAATTCATTGAGACGTTCCAAGCCTATTAGTACCGGCATTTGCTCAATACTTCGTGAACAGTGCTCTTCAGAATCTCTAATTCCACAGATGTTCTTCTAAATGATTCTTTTGGGCTTGCATGAACCTTGGCAGCGATCACTTCTCAAATGTCTTCCACAATGCTAGGTTTGTCAGTTACAAATCCTGTTGCACAGAATTTAAAAAAAAAATGTCGGCAAGAACTGGTTTATTGATTGTTCTAGATGATTATTACTGAATTCCTCTGGAACTCTGCAACACTTCTTTGTGACCACCCTTCATATCCACATAACAAAATGATCTCAATGCATTTCTGTAAACTCAGCACCATGATTTTCTTAAGGCATATGGAATACTCATTAATCAGATGTTAAAATTTATTAAGTCTTATGAAGAGTGTGAGACTTAAGTAAGAGAATATTTTCCAATATAACTCAGTGTTAAAAAGTATTTTCTGTCACCTTAGTTGTTTTAATGTGTTTACAGATGGGGTTGTAAATGAAGTGAATGCTAGTGTAGGAAAGAGGTATGGGCTTTAAAAACAATGAATCTGGTATAAAAGGGGAATTATCACAGTTGCTCTTTGTTGAGAATACAAGTTTTTTGATGAGAGTTTAGAAGATTGTGCAAAGGAAGATAAAGTGAACATAGACAAGAGCATGGTGACACAGTAGTCTAATGAATGTCAGATCTGTAGAAGTATAGTGTAACCCCAGATTTTGTCCTTAACCCCTTGACTGTTGCAACCCCCAATCCTGAGGTGTCTCCTGGTGTTGCAAAATTTCAAAAAAAAAAAAAAAATTATTTTTTCTCATGAAATGATAAGAGAATTTTTTCCCGATTGTAATGACACCAAAAAAAACGAAATATGATGGAAAACTGGCGGAATTACGGTCTCGCGAAGTTAGCGACCTCGGCGATATTTACAAATCGGCGATTTCGCCCACTTTGAGCCCTATTTTCGGCTAATTCCATTGTTCCAGTCGACCAAACTCAGTTATTTCTTTAGAACTCCATTTTTTCTATCGCTTGAGTACAAGAAACTGCCCATTTACCAATTTCAACTACCCAATAACGTGGTCAGAAATTTGCAATTTGGCCAATTTCACAAAAATTAAAAAATATGACAATTTCAAAATAAGGTCCAGAATGAACAATGCAGATATTCCTGGCTCTAAAATAACATTTTCTTTGTTCATCAGTCATATCTCCAGGCCCCTCTGATATTACTCTTGCTTTCTATTTTGAATTTTTATTCAAACAAAAAATAGAAGATTTACTATTATGCAGACTACTGCAATACTGTAATAATTGTATAAATAACATCAACCCATTCATGACTGCATATTAGAATGGCTAGTTGGACATTTATTGGACAATGACATCATTTGTTTACTTTTGAACATGAGCAAAAATCAAACATTTCCCCTATTTTGAGCTCCATTTCCAGGTTCTTTTTATAGTAAAATCAGTCAAAATCACCTCTATTTATATAATATGTTTTCCATTCTATCAAATGAGACCAAGAAAACGAGAATACAACCATAAATACTATACGAAAATAGACCACAAAGTCGGCATTTTAATTAAAAAAACGGTCGGAGTTTTTTTTTCTAATTATGCACTGCGTGCTCCAGGATTTTTTTTATATGGTGCACACTGACCACACAGACCCATTCTCTCACATGTGGGCCTACCAGCTTTCTCCTTGATTTGAAGCCGCTAGAATTTATGAGTATATATACGTCAAACACGGTACCTCGTAAGACGTATATATATGGCCGCGACAGTCAAAGGGTTAATCCATTCCAGAAGATTGGTCTAAATCCGAAATGGACGAAAACCGAAGCAATATTTCCCATGAGAAATATTGTAAATACAATTAATCCATTCCAGACACCCAAAAATATTAAAAAAAAATACATTTTTTAAAGAATAACTATAGTTTTTCATACAGAAAACAATGAGAAAGAAATATGAATGACTAATGAAATGGATAAATGAACATTTAACATCACACTTACCTTTATTAAAGACTCTTGTTCGGGTATGGACAGCAAGGAGGGGAGAGGGAGGAGGGGCAGAGGTTATTGTTTGGAAGGGGAATCCCTCTCCATAAGGACTTCAGGCATCAAAGCCCTATCCAGGGTTACTTCCCTTCTTTGTCTTTGACTGGCACTGGACCCCTGTTACACTAAAAATCTGTCCAGAGCGCTCTATTTCTGGCGTCTCTTTAACCCTTTCAGGGTCCAAGGCCAAAATCTGAAATGGTGCCCCAGTGTCCAAGAATTTTCAAAAAAAAAATTTGTTATTTTTTCTTATGAAATGGTAGAGAATCTTTCTGCGAAGGTAATAAAACAAAAAGTACGAAATTTGATGGAAAATTGACGAAATTATGCTCTCGTGAATTTTGATGTGTCAACGATATTTACGAATCGGCGATTTTGCCAATTTTGACTCCCATTTTAGGCCAATTACATTATTCCAGTCGACCAAATTCTTAACTATTTCACTAGTATTACTTCTATTCTATCAATTGAGCACAAGAAGTCGCCAAATCAACTGTTTCAACTACAAAATAAAGTGATTGGAAATTGGTAATTTGGCCAATTTAACACAAAGTTCAAAATATTCCAATTTCAAAATAGGGTCCAGAATAAACAATGTAGGTATTCCTGGCACTAAACTAACATTTCTTCTGTTCATTAGTTATGTTTTGAGGCTTTACAAATAAATTCCATTTTGATTTTTTATTCACATAATGAATTTTTATTCACATAAAAAATAGAAGATTTACTGTTATGCAATATTGTAATAATTGTATAAATATCATCACCACATTTGTGAATGTATATTAGACCCACCAGCTGGCGTGTATTAGACGTGTGAGGTCGTTTGTTTACTCTTGAACATCGGCAAAAATTTAACATTTCCGCTACTTTGAGCTCAGTTTCAAGCCATTTCCAGTGCTAAAATCAATCAAAATCATCTCTATTTCTGTAATATGTCTTCCATTCTATCAAATGAAACCAAGAAATCGTAAATACAACTATAAAAAACATACAAAAAAAAAAAACACTGCAAAGTCGCTGTTTTAATTAATTGAAAATCACGGTCTCAGTTTTTTCTCTCATTATACACAGTGTGCTGCAGGATTTGTTTTATGTGGTGCACACATACCACATAGATGTATTCTCTCATATCTAGGCCCAAATTTACCACTCGCAGTTTATCAGAGTGAGCTGAGCTCATGGCGTAGATCTACGGTTTGGACCCTGAACGTAAAGCCGTAGATCTACGGTTTGGACCCTGAACGTAAAGCCGTAGATCTACGGGACGGACCCTGAAAGGGTTATTTGCCTAAAATGGGACAAGGTACTGTCACTGAACATGTTGCAGATATGGCTTGTATCAGGTTGGTCAGGGTGATATTTTTCCACAAAAGTTTGCACCTCATTCCACTTCGCACAAATGTCCTTAATCACTGAAGAAGGCGCCTTCTCCTCTCTCTCTTCCTCCTCCTCTGAAGCAATTTCCTCAGCTGTGGTCTGTTGCTGTTCCAGATGAAGGTCTTACAGCTCTTCAGTGATTAGCTCTTCCCTGTGGTCCTCCACCAACTCTTCCACATTCTGACCACTCACATCCAGCCCCATGGACTTGCCCAAAGACACAATAGATTCCACAACAGGTGTAGGGTCGACAGGGTCAGCCTCAAGCCCATCAAAATCTTTGTCGCGGACACATTCTGGCCACAATTTTCTCCAAGCACTCAATAAACAAGTACAGAAAACAATGGATTATTACGAAATGTTTCGGATGAATGCTCACTCAACCAGTGACAAAGCCAGACTGAGACACGTACGCATGAGTGGTGGCATCTCAGGTGGGCAGACACGTCTGATACAGACAATTTCCGAGATGAGGTATGAAATCTGGAGCAAAATTTTGCTGAAAAAGTGGTCGAAATCCGAATCATGCAATATCTGGTGTGGACGAAATCTGGGGTTTGACTATAATATATTTTTCTGTACAGTGTTATTAACAATGGCCTCTACAGCAAGTGATGGTGACAAGAAGTGTGTGAATATAAATGTTAAGCAGAAACTTATTTTCAACACACGTTAAGAATGGTGTAGAGGCTAAGCAAAAACTTCATCACTTGCTTCTAGGTAGCATATGAAAATGGCCCAAGATATAAGGGTTGAAGAAACCAGTGTATAAAAGGTATGTTCAACAAGGCACACTGGTGTTAATTTTCAATCTCTTTAGCTTTGCTCTGGTGCTAAGAAGCTAGCAAGCTATAAGTGTTTGCTGACTATTGTTTCCAAAGTTTTTCCATGAAATATACAAGTACATACACCAGCTAGAGGTCCTGAAACTTTAGCCAGACAATGTCAAAGCTCTTCTTTTGCTTGACAATGCACTTGTTCATTCAAGGGCTGAAAAATTAATCAGTTTTGATAGTAAGATTAAATCCATGTTTCTGTTCTCAAATACTATTTCCCTGATCCAATCTATGAAACAGGGTATTATTGCAACCTGCAAGAGGCTGTATCAATGCAGATACTTAGACGTAGTAACTGTAGTAATTTCAGAGGAAGATGACTTGGAAAAAGATACCAGAGGCTTATGTATGCTGGAAAACATCAAGAAGTATAATCTGTTGTTTTCCATCTTCAACCTTGCAGCATCATGGAAGGAACTGAAAAGAAAATTAACTAATGGTTGGAAAAACTATTTAATGTTACAAAGAGCTGGACTTGGAAAGGTTTGAGGGCCAGTGATTTTCATAAAGCTTTTCAGAGGGCAGGAGACATGGATGTTATGGGGCAAGCTGTGACTGAATGACTGGAAGAAAATGATGGCACTCCTTGTTACCAGATACTGAGTGATGCAGAACTTGCAAATGAACAAGATAATCATGATGATAAAGTGACTGTGAAGCTACTCAAACTGTCAATAGTACAAGTTTCAACTTATGTTCTCATTACATACACTGACCTCACGGACAAAAAAGAAGTGTAGGCCTATTATCTACATCTCACCCTTCTATGTCTACTAAACTATCTATGTCTCCTTGGCCATCTATGTCTGCTGAGCCATCTACATCTCCCCACACTATCTACACCTCCCACTCCATTTACACCTATATCTCCTACTCCATCTATACCTATATCTTCCACTCCATTTACACCTATATCTCCCATTCCATTTACAACTATATCTCCCACACCATCTGCAACGCTACTGCTAGAGTTTAACAGCTCCTTGATTCAGAATAACAGTTATTCTGAGTCACCACTAAACACAGGAATATACCTACTGTACTGTACTGCAATTTTATTTCTTTTATTTTCAGATAATTTACTGTAATGTCCTATATTACAGTTCATTCTTAGTATGCCTGCTATTGCAATCAGTTTACTGTACTATACCATAATACAATTTATTCTTAGTATGTTGTGCCATCAGTGCAGTAGACTAAGTCCACTGCATTGCACATTTGGCTGTTCCATCAATGCAATAGATATTCGTTTAAGCGGCCATCCCCTTCGCCTCCACTAAACCATTATAATGAGATATCACAATGCATATGTTAACCTACTTTTTTTGTATCACATAATAGTAGGAAGTGGAGTAATAATATCATTATACTAATGCATTTATAATGAATCTTGCAAAATCATTTTAAATGTGATTTCTGTTCAAAATACATATCACTACTGTACATTTGTATCAAAAATTAAACCATATTGAAAGTCCTTACTTGCTTAAGGTTGGTCTTGATTGGCTTGACTTTGGTTTTGGCCTTTTGAGGAATTCCAGTACCTGCTTTTTTATAAATAGGATTACCAGATTTGCCAGGATTTCTTGTTTGTAATTTATTCTTCCCCATTATTCAGTTGCACACTGGTTTTAGAACTGAAAATATAAAGAATATCAGATTAAAATTGATAAGTGGGTGAAGCACTAAATAAATCAGCGAAACATTTCTACTGAAGAGCAAACATCTTAATAATAATTTAAAATTAAAAGACTACAGTAAGATCATTTGCCTGATAGTTAAAATGCACTTTGATATGAGAGCACAGGATTCAGCATATGAACAGTTTCCGATAGCATATTTGGGTTAAATAAATAATGAGCTATAAGGCAAGAGTTTGACTCAAAAGTAAAAGGTCATGAGTTTGTGACGTACTAAATGGTTTAGAAAATTGAGAAGTAGAAGAATTAGATGCTTGTGTAACGTTTGGGAATCTTTAATGTAGCTGTCAAAATGTTTCCACATTAAAAGATTCCCACATGTTGCACAAGTGTCTCATTCTTCACCAGGAGTTTGATTTCCATGCTGCAGGATATATATGGATACATATTATACTGCTGCCCCTGTTCACTTAGCAGAAAATTTGTAAGGTAAGACTTTGTTCAGATTTTTAACCCCAGAGGGTTAGCCACCCAGGATAATCCAAGAAAGGCAGTGTGTCATTGAGGGACTGTGTCTTATTTCCACTGGGGTCCTTAATCCTGTCCCCTATGATGCAACCCACACCAGTCGACTAACACCCAGGTACCTACTTACTGCTAGGTGAACGGGGACAGTAGGTGTAAGGAAACGCCCGATGTTTCCACCCTTGCCGGGAGTGTTTTGTGTATACTTGTTGTTATCGTAACAGATACCATATCATAGTTCCATGGTAAATATCAGTAATCTCGCTGATGTTCCCAAGTCACTGATCAGACAGAAATCTATTTCCCTAGTGGCAAAGAGCTGTCACATATGCATAATTTTTTTTAAGTTAATGGCAAGCGTTATTCTACCATAGCCTAGCCTAATGTAATATTAATGTAACCATGTTGTTGGATACTAATTCATGGTTATATTTTAACTCAATGTACCTGCCAAGCCCGTCCTCTAGGGAGGTTCCTTGCTGCTGCTGAAGGGCTCTTGATCTAAGGAATTGGACTTATCCTACCCTTCCTTGGATTGAGCCTAATTAAATAAATAATAATATCTTTATTCCTACAAGTACGTGTACAAGGTATACAGGCCTACCTGACCAGGATGCGACCCACACCAGTCCACTAACACCCAGGTACCCATTTTACTGATGGGTGAATAGGCAGGTGCCTTGAGGAAACACGTCCTAATGTTTCCTGCCGTACCGGGGAACTGAACCCCGGACCTCAGTGTGTGATCTGAGTGCGCTAGCGATCGAGCTATGGGACACCTTATTAATTGGCTCTCCCTGAATATAATCATAACCCATCTGTTACCTGTCGTCGGTGATTTGAAAACTCTGACCGCCGTAGGACAGGAGCTGCGACTCGACACTCCCAACCACCTTGTGGTCTCCTAAATGACTTTGTTGTTGTTGTTGGGGTTAATAAGGGCTCCCAAAGTTTACGCCTTATTGGGCCATGTTTCTCGGGAGTCCTTGAATAATGTAGCCTAAATCTAGGCATGAATTATAAAGGAAACAAAGATTACTCTGATAATGGAAACAGAATCAATAAGTTCTCAGTTAGTTCAGGCAGCGCTAGACACCCATTCACACCCCCATCTAAGTTAACATCAATAGACTTGATGAATTAGACACTTTGGTACTTTTTAATAACAATAATATTTATTTCTACAAGTACTATGTACATGTACAAGTTATACAGACCTAGCTGACATCAATGACACTACTATATAGAGCATTTCGGGTAAATTAGGTCAGTTTTGTCCCAGGATGCGACCCACACCAGTCGACTAACACCAAGGTACTTATTTTACTGCTAAGTGAACATGGACAGCAAGTGTTTTAAGTAACATGTTCTAGTGTTTTTACCCGTATCGGGGATCGTACCACAGACCTCAGTGTGTGAGCCGAGTCTGCTAGCAATAGCAACGTTTCGCCAGACAGTGGCTTCCTCAGTTAGGTTAGGTAAGTGTTTCCTGACGCGGATCTTAGCTGGAGCTTTTGGTCATCTGACCGAGACTTTTAACTGGCTTACCACTCCACCCCTTTTAAAAGTTACGGTTATGATTATAGTGCAATGATTCGTGCAATATATTTATGTTTTATTTTAAAGTGTCAATGTTAGATGCACCGCATTTTGCGAGTACCTTTCACCAACACTTTAAATTTTAACAGGTTTGGTTTAGCGTTTTAGTGAATGTAATGATAACCAGGACATCTGAAAGGCCCTGAGTGGACTGTATTGGCCACTTAACTTTTGAGAATATAACCTATAATGAAAAAATAACGACACGCGAAAACAAAGGCAGGGCCCTCAAAACGGTGGAAATTTAATTTGTGTGTGTGTGTGTATTTATTAAAAAAAAAAGGCTTTTCTGGCTTTTCCTTGAAAATTCACTAATGATTAAGAATGCGTGAACCTTTCGTGCAGTGTCATAGTTTATACTAATTTTGTCAAATAAACAATTACCAAGTGCCTTATCTAAGGCCTCCTTAGAGCTTCAGGCCCGGGCCAAACTGTCCTCCTAATACCCCAGTTAACCTGGAGTTTACCTGGAGAGAGTTCCGGGAGTCAACGCCCCCGCGGCCCGGTCTGTGACCAGGCCTCATAGTGGATCAGAGCCTGATCAACCAGGCTGTTACTGCTGGCTGCACGCAATCTAACGTACGAGCCACAGCCCGGCTGGTCAGGTACCGACTTTAGGTGCTTGTCCAGTGCCAGCTTGAAGACTGCCAGGGGTCTATTGGTAATCCCCCTTATGTATGCTGGGAGGCAGTTAAACAGTCTCGGGCCCCTGACACTTACTGTATTGTCTCTTAACGTGCTAGTGACACCCCTGCTTTTCATTGGGGGGATGTTGCATCGTCTACCGAGTCTTTTGCTTTCGTTGTGAGTGATTTTCGTGTGCAAGTTCGGTACTAGTCCCTCTAGGATTTTCCAGGTGTATATAATCATGTATCTCTCCCGCCTGCATTCCAGGGAGTACAGATTCAGGAACTTCAAGCGCTCCCAGTAATTGAGGTGTTTTATCTCCGTTATGCGTGCCGTGAAGGTTCTCTGTACATTTTCTAGGTCAGCAATTTCACCTGCCTTGAAAGGTGCTGTTAGTGTGCAGCAATATTCCAGCCTAGATAGAACAAGTGACCTGAAGAGTGTCATCATGGGCTTGGCCTCCCTAGTTTTGAAAGTTCTCATTATCCATCCTGTCATTTTTCTAGCAGATGTGATTGATACAATGTTATGGTCCTTGAAGGTGAGATCCTCCGACATGATCACTCCCAGGTCTTTGACGTTGGTTTTTCGATCTATTTTGTGGCCGGAATTTGTTTTGTACTCTGATGAAGTTTTAATTTCCTCATGTTTACCATATCGGAGTAATTGAAATTTCTCATCGTTGAACTTCATATTGTTTTCTGTAGCCCATTGAAAGATTTGGTTGATGTCCGCCTGGAGCCTTGCAGTTAAACCTGAAGATAATAATCCAGCGAGTCTGGAGTTTTCTTACACGACAGTTTTGCTCAGAATACGACATCCAGTACATCTGGAATTTTTAAACAAGAATCAGTGAGAGAAAAAATCAGAATGTAGGTGAAACTTTCTCTGCCGCTGGTGGATCCCTGGCCAGCAGTGATGGCCACCAGTGATGGCCAGCAGTGTTGGCCAGCAGTGTCTACATTCTTCTCTTTATTACTGTATACTGCTGAGTTGCTGGCATTTTTTTCATGTCTGGTTTCATAGCCCAACCTGCATACCTAGAGTATACCAACCGGGCTGTGGTTTGTACGTCAGCTTGTGTGCGACCAGCAGTAACAGCCTGGTTGATCAGGCCCTGATCCACCATGAGGCCTGGTCTCAGACTGGGCCGCGGGGGCGTTGACCCCCGAAACCCTCTCCAGGTAAACTCGCCGAACACAGGTGTATTTGTGGCAGTGAAGCAGCAGACTGATTCGGGTACCATGGTCTTGTGTGCCGTAAATCCAAGGGAAAGATTGCAAGACATAAGGAGGTTAATAACATTATCAAGAGGAGCCTCACAACAGCTGGATGCCCAGCAGTAAGGGAACCACCCCAACTATGCAGATCTGATGGCAGCCAGAAGCGTCCAGATGGTATCACACTTCAAGCCTGGACAGACGGTAAGCAGGTGGTGTGGGACTACACATGTGCATCTACCTTGGCTGATACCTATCTCCAATGCACCAGGAAGGAAGGAGGGGCAGCTGCCAGCTTTAGGGAGTCCCAAAAATCTAGAAAATGTGGAGAACTTGCCCATCATTATATGTTTGTTCCCATAGGCTCAGAGACCCTTGGCTCATGGGGAAAGAATGCATCTAAATTCCTTAAGGAGCTGGGAAAAAGACTCATCAGGGTAACTAGGGATCCCAGGGCAGCTAGTTTTCTGTTCCAGCGGCTCAGTGTGGCTGTTCAAAGGGGTAATGCCTGCTGTATTTTGGGCATACGCCCCAGCTCTGAAGAGCTGGATGAGATTTTCGCCTTATAATCGGTGATACGCACGTAACAACATGCACCGTATATGCCACCTTTATATCAACAATGTATATCTTAAATCTTATATATATATATATATATATATATATATATATATATATATATATATATATATATATATATATATATATATATATATATATATATATATATATATTGTAGGTAGTAGGTTGGTAGACAGCAACCACCCAGGGAAGTACTACCGTCCTGCCAGATGACTGTGAAACAGAAACCTGTAACTGTTTTGCATGATGGTAGGATTTCTGGTTTCTTTTTCTGTCTCATAAACACGCTAGATAACAGGGATATCATGCTACTCCTACTTACACTTTGGTCACACTTCACAGACACGCACATGCATATATATATATATATATATACATACATCTAGGTTTTTCTCCTTTTTCTAAATAGCTCTTGTTCTTCTTTATTTCTTCTATTGTCCATGGGGAAGTGGAAAAGAATCTTTCCTCCGTAAGCCATGCGTGTCGTATGAGGCGACTAAAATGCCGGGAGCAATGGGCTAGTAACCCCTTCTCCTGTAGACATTTACTAAAAAAGAGAAGAAGAAAAACTTTATAAAACTGGGATGCTTGAATGTGCGTGGATGTAGTGCGGATGACAAGAAACAGATGATTGCTGATGTTATGAATGAAAAGAAGTTGGATGTCCTGGCCCTAAGCGAAACAAAGCTGAAGGGGGTAGGGGAGTTTCGGTGGGGGGAAATAACTGGAATTAAATCTGGAGTATCTGAGAGAGTTAGAGCAAAGGAAGGGGTAGCAGTAATGTTGAAGGATCAGTTATGGAAGGAGAAAAGAGAATATGAATGTGTAAATTCAAGAATTATGTGGATTAAAGTAAAGGTTGGATGCGAAAAGTGGGTCATAATAAGCGTGTATGCACATATAGAAGAGAGGAATGTAGAGGAGAGAGAGATTTTGGGAGATGTTAAGTGAATGTATAGGAACCTTTGAACCAAGTGAGAGAGTAATTGTGGTAGAAGACCTGAATGCTAAAGTAGGAGAAACTTTTAGAGAGGGTGTGGTAGGTAAGTTTGGGGTGCCAGGTGTAAATGAAAATGGGAGCCCTTTGATTGAACTTTGTATAGAAAGGGGTTTAGTTATAGGTAATACATATTTTAAGAAAAAGAGGATAAATAAGTATACAAGATATGATGTAGGGCGAAATGACAGTAGTTTGTTGGATTATGTATTGGTAGATAAAAGACTGTTGAGTAGACTTCAGGATGTACATGTTTATAGAGGGGCCACAGATATATCAGATCACTTTCTAGTTGTAGCTACACTGACAGTAAAAGGTAGATGGGATACAAGGAGAATAGAAGCATCAGGGAAGAGAGAGGTGAAGGTTTATAAACTAAAAGAGGAGGCAGTTAGGGTAAGATATAAACAGCTATTGGAGGATAGATGGGCTAATGAGAGCATAGGTAATGGGGTCGAAGAGGTATGGGGTAGGTTTAAAAATGTAGTGTTTAGAGTGTTCAGCAGAAGTTTGTGGTTACAGGAAAGTGGGTGCGGGAGGGAAGAGGAGCGATTGGTGAAATGATGATGTAAAGAGAGTAGTAAGGGAAAAAGTTAGCATATGAGAAGTTTTTACAAAGTAGAAGTGATGCAAGGAGGGAAGAGTATATGGAGAAAAAGAGAGAGGTTAAGAGAGTGGTGAAGCAATGTAAAAAGAGAGCAAATGAGAGAGTGGGTGAGATGTTATCAACAAACTTTGTTGAAAATAAGAAAAAGTTTTGGAGTGAGATTATGGATTTGGAAAAGGCGTATGACAGGGTGGATAGGGGGGCAATGTGGCAGATGTTGCAGGTGTATGGTGTAGGAGGTAGGATACTGAAAGCAGTGAAGAGTTTTTACGAGGATAGTGAGGCTCAAGTTAGAGTATGTAGGAAAGAGGGAAATTATTTCCCAGTAAAAGCAGGCCTTAGACAAGGATGTGTGATGTCACCATGGTTGTTTAATATATTTATAGATGGGGTTGTAAGAGAAGTAAATGCGAGGGTCTTGGCAAGAGGCGTGGAGTTAAAAGATAAAGAATCACACATAAAGTGGGAGTTGTCACAGTTGCTCTTTGCTGATGACACTGTGCTCTTGGGAGATTCTGAAGAGAAGCTGCAGAGGTTGGTGGATGAATTTGGTAGGGTGTGCAAAAGAAGAAAATTAAAAGTGAATACAGGAAAGAGTAAGGTAATGAGGATAACAAAAAGATTAGGTGATGATAGATTGGATATCAGATTGGAGGGAGAGAGTATGAAGGAGGTGAATGTATTCAGATAATTTGGGAGTGGACGTGTCAGCGGATGGGTCTATGAAAGATGAGGTGAATCATAGAATTGATGAGGGGAAAAGGGTGATGGGTGCACTTAGGAGTCTGTGGAGACAAAGAACTTTGTCCTTGGAGGCAAAGAGGGGAATGTATGAGAGTATTGTTTTACCAGCGCTCTTATATGGGTGTGAAGCATGGGTGATGAATGTTGCAGCGAGGAGAAGGCTGGAGGCAATGGAGATGTCATGTCTGAGGGGAATGTGTGGTGTGAATATAATGCAGAGAATTCGTAGTTTGGAAGTTAGGAGGAGGTGCGGGATTACCAAAACTGTTGTCCAGAGGGCTGAGGAAGGGTTGTTGAGGTGGTTCGGACACGTAGAGAGAATGGAGCGAAACAGAGTGACTTCAAGAGTGTATCAGTCTGTAGTGGAAGGAAGGCGGGGTAGGGGTCGGCCTAGGAAAGGTTGGAGGGAGGGGGTAAAGGAGGTTTTGTGTGCGAGGGGCTTGGACTTCCAGCAGGCATGCGTGAGCGTGTTTGATAGGAGTGAATGGAGACAAATGGTTTTTAATACTTGACGTGCTGTTGGAGTGTGAGCAAAGTAACATTTATGAAGGGGTTCAGGGAAACCGGCAGGCCGGACTTGAGTCCTGGAGATGGGAAGTACAGTGCCTGCACTCTGAAGGAGGGGTGTTAATGTTGCAGTTTAAAAACTGTAGTGTAAAGCACCCTTTTGGCAAGACAGTGATGGAGTGAATGATGGTGGAAGTTTTTCTTTTTCGGGTCACCCTGCCTTGGTGGGAATCGGCCAGTGTGATAATAAAAATAATATATATATATATATATATATATATATATATATATATATATATATATATATATATATATATTATATATATTGTGTGTGTGTGTGTGTGTGTGTGTGTGTGTGTGTGTGTGTGTGTGTGTGTGTGTGTGTATATATATATACTCTGTGATATAACTCGTGAGTATTAAATTATCTCCCAGTAAGTCGTGTCGCTTTCCAATACGTTTTCTCTTGTGAAAGGGAAATCATTTGAACACTATATCAAACAGCCTTCTGGAACGAATTAATTTCGTATCCCGAGGTACCACTGTATACAAAGTGCAGTTTCGAGATAATATTGTTTCATCATCATGATAAAACATTATTTTCGTAGCTAACTGAACTTCAGTTTAAGCTAAGTTCACTAGACACTAGAGTTCCCTCCCTCCCTCCTGAGGAAGACCCGAGGAGGGGTCCAAGACGGTGTCCCACATATTCCATCTCAGTCAGACTTGTACCGTTAGTGTGACGCTACCATCATAGACAACCTTGCTCTCGCAAGAACTTGAGCCATTAAGTAAAGATCTGTCAAGTGGGAAGTGTGTTTAAGGACAAAAGAACCTATGGTTGAAAGTGGAGCAAGCTCAGATTTAACACATTACGTACCACAAGTGACCCGCAGTTGATATTATAGTGATATATAGTAGGGGTCTGGACACCATGTGGACAAGAAAAAATTTAGGGCTCGTCACTATATACCTTCTCACCACTTGTACGACACCAGGTAGGCTTAAGCTAATTAAATTCTTGCTGCCACATCTTTAAAAAAAAAATTTTTATTTAAGTTTCAAAATTTGAAGATGATTCACGTCACTCGCAAAACATAATGTAAGACATGAAAGCGCTAAAGATATTTTTATCTAAAATAATTATGTTCCTCCACGTTGAACTTCAAAATGATGAGCACGGACTGAACTGACATTTCAAGTTTTCTCTGCAAATTGTGGGTTAGTTGTGAATTGTTCCAGTCACAGTACCGATTCGTGCAATAAAAAAAAAAAGTATTCTTTGGTCGGTGCAATTTTTTCAACTACGATTCAGAGGGATGGGTATGGGAGGCATGATACAAATATTAAAATTAACTAACAAGGATCCCAATTGAAATAAGTCACTTTGACGTTTTTGGGGTTATCCTAGGTAATCTACACACATGCTGCTATGTATGATAATTTGTAACTGTATTTATGTGTACCCGTACCTGAATAAACTTACTAACCATAACCTCTTTTACCTCCGCTTAATTTATGATCTCAGAGATTCATTTTTCTTTTATAATAACGTCTACATGAATAGGAATCTTAAATTAAACTCGTTCAGTCGACAGACCGTAACTCCAACAGAGGAACAGGAACTATGCCTTTCTCTCACTAATAACAAAATTAGATATTCATTATAGTTTTCAGTGTATCAGAATGTTGGCAGCATTAAAAGTGGCCATGTGTCCAACAGCGAACGATATAGCCTACCCCAGTACCAGGAACCTTA